GCTTGGAATGAATTTTTCTGTATGAAACTGTGTGTTTTGACAATGAAGTGGAGATCTTTTTTAAACGTTGGAACCTCATTTAATTTTGTGTCTTATAGAGTTTATAAGGAGTTAAAGATTATATAAGTGTGATAATTAATCTGTAAACCTAAAAATGTACAGCCAATTTTGTGTACCCTAGCTCCTAGCTCAGAAAAATGTTATTGAATAGGTTAATGCTGTTGTACTGAAATGCTTCTTCTAATTGAAAAAAAAAAGGTAGGAAACAACATATCTTAAAATGAAGTGGAGATCTTCTTTAAAGGGTAAAAACTCATCCAATTTTATGTCCTACAGGGCTTTTACTGAGTTCATTATTGTATGACTGTATTAATTCAACTGTGAACCTAAAAATTTACAGCCACCTTTGAAAGAGATGTATCCTTGCTCTGGAATGTGTTACTGAGTATGTTAAAGCTGTAATGAAATGCTTCTAAAAAAAAAAAAAACTTGAAAATAAAATTTGAAAATTAAAAAAAAAAAAATAGTCAGTGCTCTTAACTGCTGAGCAATCTCTCCAGCCCTATTCTTTTCTTTTCATATATACTTGAGGGAAAAAAGAAAAATAACCACGGGCTCAAAATAACATGATGAAAAAATAAACTTTGACCTAAACTTTGTATATGTACTTGTGTTCATGTGTGTGTAAATGCATGGGGGGAAGTTGTATGCATGCATGTGTGGGTATGTGGAGGTCAGAAAACAACCTCAAGTGTCATTCCTCAGGCACCTTTTACCTTTTGTTTGAGACAGTGTCTCTTGTTAGCCTGGAACTTCTCCAACCACGCTAGAGCAGACGACTAGCAAGCTCCAGGGATTTACCTGTCTCTACCTCCCCAGAGCTAAGATTACAAGCATGCATCACCATGGCAGGCTTTCAAACTCAGATTCTCATACTTTTGAGACAACTGCTTTATTGACTGAGATGTTTTTGTGGTCCAGGCCTAAACATTATTTTTTTCCTCCAAACTATGAGTTTCCTTTTACAAAAAAAGTTAAATATGTGCAGAAAATAATTTCCTCAGGATTTTTCAAATTTAGCATTCTGAAAATTCACATTTCATATACTCATCGTGAGGAGGAATATGAGAAATAAAATCTATGTAATATATATATAATAATCATGTATGCATTAACTGTTAACCTTCAACTCGAAGATATATCCTTAAGCACTAGGTAAAGGAAAAATACTTCAAAATATATTAATCAAGAGGCTGGAGAGATGGCTCACTGGTTAAGAGCACTGGTTGTTCTTGCAGAGGACCCAGGTTCAGTTCC